GGCTTGGTGTGGTCGTTGATTCAGGAAGCAGCTGAGGGCGGCTGCTCCAGCCTGTGTGTGGGTGGATAAGCCGTGGTCCCTGATGGGGAGAAGCTCAATGGATTGGTCAGGTGGATGCAGAGGTGCTGTGGCTGCACAGGGAAGGGGACAGCCGGCGACTCCTAAAGCCGGTGGCAACTTTAGGGAGAAGGTGACTGTGTTTGGGGGGAGGATCACAGACCAAGGATGTGCAATGGCAGAGAGGCACAGTGTGGCCTGGCCAGGGCAGGTAGCATATATATATATATATATTTATTTATTTATTTTTATTTTTTATTTTTTTTGAGTCAGAGTCTCGCTCTGTCGCCAGGCTGGAATGCAGTGACGCGATCTCAGCTCACTGCAATCTCCGCCTCCCAGGTTCAGGCAATTCCCCTGCCTCAGCCTCCTGAGTAGCTGGGACTACAGGCAGCTGCCACCACGCCTGGCTAATTTTTTGTATTTTAGTAGACATGGGGTTTCACCATGTTGGCCAGGATGGTCTTGATCTCCTAACCTTGTGATCTGCCCACCTCGGCCTCCCAAAGTGCTGGGATTACAGGCGTGAGCCACTGTGCCCAGCCGCACTTAAATGTTTTAAAAGAATTCTTCTATTCGTAGGTAGCAATTTAACGTGGCAGCACATGTTCTTAGGGACCCACATTCAGGACTGTGACTGACAGCCAGCTGAGAATGGGGACTCCTTGAGAATATTGAAGTTGGACAGAGGTGGGTTTGCACAGCACAGAGGAGAATCTGGAGACTTGGCTGATCTGTGGCCTCTGGGGGTGCGTGTACCCAGGGGTGGCCCAGACCATCCCAGACATGACAAGAAAATTTGGACTTGCATTTATAATACATCCATTAAAAAAAATCTAAAATGAGGAAGAATTGAGGCTTCACAACTATCTACCATTTAGAGTGACACGGGTACCCTCATTGAGAAACTGAAACAGGAAGTGACGAATCCTGGGGGGAGGAGGGAAGCTGCATCTCAGAGGGAGCTCGGCAGTGACTCGGCTTATCCATTTATTTTCCATGCATCATAAATTTTGCTATCGTTTTGGGTTCTGATTTTTTCTTTTTTTGAGAGAGAGTCTCGCTCTGTCACCCAGGCTGGAATGCAGTGGTGCAATCTCGGCTCACTGCAACCTCCACCTCACAGGTTCAAGCGATTCTCATGCCTCAGCCTCCTGAATAGATGGGATTACAAGCGCCTGCCACCACGCCAGGCTAATTTTTGTATTTTTAGAAGAGACGGGGTTTCACCATGTTGGTCAGGGGTTTCACTATGTTGGCGAGGCTGGTCTTGAACTCCTGACCTCAGGTGATCCACCCACCTCGGCCTCCCAAAGTGCTGGGATTACAGGTGCCTACCACCATGCCTGGCTAATTTTTGTATTTTTTAGTAGAAATGGGGTTTTGCCATCTTGCCCAGGCTAGTCTTGAACTCCTGAGCTCAAGGGATCTGCCCACCTCAGCCTCTCAAAGTGCTGAGATTACAGGTGTAAGCCATCACGCTCGGCCTGAGTGCTGTTTTAACTAAATAAATTTTTACAAAATGACAAGGCCTTATGAAGTTATCTGCAAAGAGGCTTGGGCTGAAGGTAACACTGCAATAGCAATGCAAACATAACATTTGGATGAAGCTAATTTTGCACTAAAATAATGCTTTCCTAAGCAGAACATGAGAAAATGGCAACATTGATGTTTTGATTTCTCCCAGGGCAAGCTCTCTATCAGCCACATATGATAAGGCTAAAAACAATGATGTTTTAGCCAACAGAAGATTGGTTAAGAAAATGGAATATATCAAAAACACTGCTTTTAATTATGGACTTATATCTACTATTGTCAGTGACGTCCTTGCCTTAGTGCATATCATAATGTCTGTTTATAATTATACCTTCGGGAAGTGTATATTCCAGCTATTATAACTGTTAAAACCCAGAATTGAGATAAACAAATCAGACCTTTCCATCCTAGAGTCCTAAAGTGTGAAACCAAGATTTTTTTTTTTTTTTTTGAGACAGAGTCTTGCTCTGTCACCCAGGCTGCAGTGCAACGGCTCTGTCTCGGCTCACTGCAACCTCCACCTCCAGGGTTCAAATGATTCTCCTGCCTCAGCCTCCGGAGTAGCTGGGATTACAGGCGCCTGCCATCATGCCCAGCTATTTTTTTGTTTTTGTATTTTTAGTAGAGATGGGGTTTCACCATGTTGGCCAGGCTGGTCTCAAATTCCTGACCTCGTGATCCACTCGCCTCGGCCTCCCAAAGTGCTGGGATTACAGGTGTGAGCCACTGCGCGTGGCCGAAACCAAGATTTTTAAAAAGTTATTTAATCTCATTATTTTAATGAAGCATAGATATTTTTGTAGTATCAATGAATATAACATAATGTAGTTATTTTATACTACATATTATTGTTAGTGTAACCTGATCATATTCCTTTTTAGGTATTGATAACACGCAGACTTAGTTGGTGACAATGTATATGATTCATATATAAATAGACAGATCTTGGGGATGCTTTTCTAACTGATCAAAAGGCATGAACACATGTGAAGAGCACGCCCTGGTGATGGATGATAAGGGAGGAAAGCAGATGGAAGGGTGTCACCAAGAGCCAGGCAAGAGATGCTCACGTTCTGCACTGGGGTAACAGCAGTAAGGGCGGGGAGGACCTGGAGATTTGTGGGGAGCTGGATCAAGGGGATTTGTTTGAACTTGGAGAAGGAATTAAGGGAGAGTCCGAATTCAGTCACAAGTTTAGGAGAATGAATGGACACGAGAGGGTCCAATTTTAGAAGGTCTTGGTGTTTGGGTGGATTTGAGGGGTAAGAAAAAAGGGGGAAATTTAGATATTTCCTAGTTTTCTCTCTAGAAGACTGGATGGATGACACGTAATTCACCAAGAAAGAAAAGGAAAGAGGGAGGTAGGGAGCAAGTTCAACAGAGAGCACTGTGGACCTACTGTCTTTGAAGGACTCATGCATTTACTCGGAGGTCTCAAGCAGGAAAGTGAACGTCGTGTCTGCGGCAGGAAGAAGTGCAGGTGGGCCATACTGACTCTAGAGCAAAGACCACAGTCATCAATGAAGTTGCTCATGGAGGATGTAGAGTAAGAAGAGAAGAGGACCAAGCACTGAATCACGTGGAGACAAGCATACGTGAAAGACAAGAAGGGAGTGAAGCTGCAGAGAGAAGCAAGCTGTGGAAGCTGGATTCTGCAAGGAGCAGATGGAAATCGGGAAGAAGGTTTGCCATGGAAAAGACCTGGCACCCAACATCTGTTGACAGGAATGCAACAGAGTAAGGCAGCCACACCAAGGTGTTGTAAGGTGAACAGGAAAGAAATTGAGGTGGCTCAGGTGAGGCTGAGGGAGCGACAAAGGAGACTGCTGCTAGGGATGGCAGTGAGGGTGGTCTGAGCGGAGTGCACGAGGGCATATTTCAGAATTATTATGAAGGGGAATTCAGTAATTGAGTTGAGTTTCTCCTCTCAGGTCCCCTTCACTCATGCTTTGATGAGCTTTGGTTTCCCTTCAAAATGAAAATGGTTTATAGCATCAATACCTGTTTCTGTGCCAACCTGAACAAAACATAGATTTCTATGATCAGAAAGTTATTTAATGAATCAGCCTCACTCTGTGAGTTCAACAATGCCATGTAAGCTAAAAGCCATCATTCCTCATGGAACAGAGGCCAAGGCTAAATTCAAATTACATATCACCCAACCACAGGGCAAAGCTACATAGTTCTAGGACTCATATGGCCACAACTCCTTTGGCAATGACAGGACCTTGCTGCTGAATCATTTAACCCAGGAAATCAGAGGTCTGCCAGAGTCTTTATCAAACAACCACCCCCAATCACATGTTTATTAGTTAGTTCATCCATTTACTCTTCTAGAAGGTATCTATTAGCACCTTAATGTGCCAAGACCTGCACTACATCCTTATATGTAAAAGTGAACAAGATCACACAAATCTACCCATGAGAGAAGATGGCCTAGAACCACATACACTTTGGATGGACATCAGTTTCCTGGCTTTGACATTGTACCACAGCTACGTGAGATGTGACCACTGGGGGAAACTGGATGAAGGGCACAGTCAGGAGATGTTTCTGGACTATGTTTTGCAAATTCCTGTGAATCTACAATTATTTTGAAATGAAAATTTTTAAAAAGTGAATATGAAACTGTCCATGACTGCAGAGCAAACATCCAGTCATGCAGGGAGATTTGAAGATGAAAAAGCAACCAGGACAAGTGCTGTGCTGTGGGAAAGACCAAGTGGGAGGGGCGTCAGTAATCTCCCTGGGTGGGCAGCTGGGGAGGATTCTGCAAAAAGGGTAGAGGTGGGTTTAGTTGGATTGATAAATGCCTTCTGTGCAAATGTCATTTCTCTGTGTGTTCAGGATGTGACAGCAATGTCTTCTTCTTATTTTATTTTTTTAATGGGGGCAGGGGTGAGTTTTAACTTTCACACTCTTTCTCATTTAATGCTCACAATAAAACCACAACATCAGCATTATACTCATTTCACAGAAGAGGAAATGGAGGTCAGTGAGGCTTTGGCAGTCACTCTGTGCTTACATCAGTGGTGGCTTAGAAACTCAGTCCAGGTCTTCTGACCCCACAGTTTCACCACTTGATTTGGGTGGATGCTTGTTTCCACCTGGGTCTTCACTAGCTGCTCCTTCTGGTAGGTCTGAGCAGACTGAATATGTTTTAAGGCTGGGGGAAAGGAAATGCCAAACTCTGCAAGCCTTGGAGAGATGTGATTTGTAAAAGTAGCACTCCCCACAAAATAATGATAGAAACCCATATGCATGGTGGCATTTATGAGATACTTAGGAAAACAGGTACAAATCTTGAACCAAGATACTTAAAACCTTCTGATTTTCAGGGATGAAAGAAGCAATGGCATGTGGCCAGGACATGCTGAGGTGGGAGCAGCCTGTCACCACATTCCTACCTCTGGGGCGATATAGTCGGGTGTCCCGCAGAAGGTATTCGTCTTGGCATCTCCTAACATGTTCTCCTTGCACATTCCAAAATCTGCAATCTTGATATGTCCATCTTTGTCTAACAGGATGTTATCTAGCTTCAGGTCCCTGAAAAACAAAAGCGAAGCAAATCTCACATTAATAAATACAATTTGGTTAACATAAAATTCCATAGGCGGCGAGGGAGTTTGTCTCATTGCAGCCTGAGAGGGGCTCACGAGAGGCGCTTATGTATCTATTCATTTGCACACCAAGTGGGGTGTAGACAAAGCAGATTCTGCAAGGGCCTGCTGGCTGCTGTGGATTCTTTCTCTGATTTACCAAGGGGTACAGTTCAGTGTACAGAGGACAGAGCACCCATATCCACTGGGGACCCTTGATCCCAGGACTTTCCTGAGGGTAATGATGAAGGAGGAAAGACCTAAAAATATACTTACTGTATGTTATTTTCTATGTATTTGTTTGTTTCTTTGTGAATGATTTATACTGCACCTAATTCCAAGTCCAATTGATGAAGGTTGTTCCTAACTAATACGGAACCCCTTAGAACCAGAATCCATCCAATGCCAGAATGTCATGCCAACAAATTTCTGTGTCCTTGGAGAACCAGTATCCTCTTGAAAGAGCCCATTCCATTCTTAGGGAAATGTAACTGATAACATTTCTTTAAAAAACAATTAACCGAACTTTGCTTCCCTGTGGTGTCACCTATTGGTGCAAAGGGGCTTTCTATTGTTATGTGTGACACCCCAAATATTTGAAAAAAAATGACATCAAGTTTTCTCTTTTCTAGCCAAGATCAGACTTCACTCCTCATGACGTGGTTTTCAGACCCTTTTGACCTTGTACCACAGCTGCGTGAGATGTGGCCACTGGGGGAAACTGGATGAAGGGCACACATTCTGGCCTCTACCTTCCAAGTATCTTGAATTTGTCAGTTTTCTTCTTGAAACGTGGTGCTCAGAATGAAGCCAGAATCCTCCAGAGAGAGAATCTGATTGGTGCAGGTTACAGTGGTGCCCAGAGCTCCGTTACCATCCTCTTGCCTTTTGCCACAGTGGACTAAGATCCTGCACCATATTTTTTCATAGTTTCATCACAATAATACCCAATATTGAGTTTATTGTAAACTAAAACCTTCAGGTGTTTTTTTTTTCTTTCCTATATGAAGAAATGCCATTATCTCAGTTTCTTCTCATTCTGTACTCGTGAAGTTGATTTTTTAAAGATTCACGTGCTTCCCTTGATTCAGTTTTTTTTTTCCCCCCTCCAAGACACGCTCTTTCCCTGTCATCCAGGCTGGAATGCAGTGGCACGATGTCAGTCCACTGCAGCCTCAGCCTCTTAAGCTCAAGCAATCCCTCCACCTCAGACGCTTGACCACATGTGTGCCATCACAATGCCTGGCTAGTTTTTTAAATTTTTTGTAGAGACAAGGTCTCACTGTGTTGCCAAGGCTGGTCATGAACTCCTGACCTTAAGCAATCCTTCTGCCTCAGACTCTCAAAATGCTGGGATTACAGGCGTGAACCACTGTGCCTGGCCAGCTCTGACGGATGTAGGTCAGTATGGGAAAGGTTCTGAAAGGCTGCCACGTGAAGCCAGCACTCCATGGGGGTGAGGAAGGAGTGCCAAGGAAGACCAGCGAGGACCCCTGGAGCCAGCTGGAGAGGGCAGAGAACCCAGAGGCCCAGGGTGTTCTGAGGCATGTCACGCTTGGGGCATCAGGACCCAGGGGAGAACTTCAGAGTCCACAGCCTGGGCATGTCTCTGCAAGTTTTATACTCAAAGAGGCTGCTTAAGAATACTTACTTTCCAACCCCCCGCAAGCCTTTAGTTCTGTGACTCCAAATAGGGCAACCCTCACTTGACTGCACCCTCAGAAAATGGAGGGGCCCTTCCCCGTAAGTGAATTCTGCACTCCGTAAGCACCAAAGCTTCAATACTGATTATCTGGTCTCCAGCAGCTCAGCTATCCTCCTCACCAGCTCCTTTCTTTTTCCTATCTATTTTTCCTCCGAATCTGCAGTGAGTTGGAAATCTGACAGTAAGCTTGTAAAGGTTTGTATGTTAAATAAGTGCTAACTACATTTTGAGAAAAGAAGTGAGGAGACTGAGGTACAATAGCGTCAATCTAAGAGCTTGGACAGAAGAACGTGAAATGATGTCATCCAGCAGAGAAGGAGAAAATTCCATAAGCATTTCTAGGTGGCTCAAAGCTTAGACAAGAAAAAATAAGAGGTGTGAAAGGGACAAAATAGAAAGAAACCATAAGATAAGAGAACAAAGAGAAAACAGGGGAGTGAAAACGGGAGAAGGAAGGTGAAAGTAGGAATTCAAGTGAGAACCAGCTTTGTAAAGGACAGAATGAGCTCAGCACTCTCCTGCTTTTGAGACTGGAATGTCTTCCTTGGTTGTGAGTAAGTCATTCTTGGTTGTAAGTCATCGTCTGTGTAATCACTGTGGGCAAGAGGCCTATGTGTGGAGCTTCCTCCCACGAAATCACACGGGCTGTCTCACAGCACTCGGTGCAATGATTAAATTAACTGAGCCAATATCTTAGCATTTGTTTCCACAAAGCAAAATTTACCTGTAGACGATTCCTTTGGAATGAAGGAACTGCAGACCAAGAATGATTTCAGCAGCATAAAACCTGGGGGAAAGAGAACCAAGGTTCAACGTGAATGTAGTCACGGAACACAATAAAATCCCCAAACCCAGACTGACCTTTCTATGACATGCTGTGTATGGCTAAACGGCAATACACACATAACTCTGTTTAATCCTAACAAGGAAGATGTTGTCCATTCATTCTCCACACAAGAAAGTGGAGGCTCAGACACCTCCAGCCTCAGTCCTAACAGCATAAAACAGAGCTGGCATCTTAAGTGAGTCCTGCCTGTATCTAGTACTTGTTCTTATCCTTTAAACAACAATGCTCATATTGTCATTTTTTTGTTTTTGCTATTGCTAATAAAACACAGACATTAAAAGTAATAGTATAGACCAGGCATGATGGTTCATGCCTGTAATCCTAGCACTTTGGGAGGCCCAAGCGGGTGGATCACTTGAGGTCAGGAGTTCAAGACCAGCCTGGGCAACATGGTGAAACGCTGTCTCTAGTAAAAATACAAAAATTAGCAGGGCATGGTGTTGGGTGCCTGTAATCCCATCTACTCAGGAAGCTGAGGCTTGATAATCACTTGAACCTGGGAGGTAGAGGTTGCAATGAACTGAGATCACACCACTGCACTCCAGCCTGGGTGACAGAGCAAGACTCTGACTCACAAAAAAAACAAAAACAAAACAAAACAAAACAAAACAAAAAAACAAAAGAAAGAAAAGAAGAAAAAGTAATACTGTAGATAATTGGCAAATAATTTCTCCCTTTGTTTTAAACTCTGATTGGCACCCATAGACCTGTGTGCACCATTCTGAATAGAACTGGCTGGTTTATTTTTGTACTGAGAACCTTTAGCCTGGGCTACACTTACAGCCCATGAGGTGGAAAAGAGGATCTTAGCAGAGGCAAGATGATAAGTTACTCTTTATCTTCAATGGTGACAAGCTTAAAGGAAATGAGTTTACCCCATCACTGGTGGGATTAAGGTCGGATACAAGAGACAGCTTCCTGGAAGGGAAGTTTGCTGGATCTGGTGGAAGAATGCAAATTTCTCCTTCCTGAAAGGCGTTTAGGACAGGATGGAGAGCGTGGGTCCAGGCTGGCTGGAGACGACAGTGGACTAAATGAATCCCTTCTAGCATGAAAAGTGCCCGATGATTTCTCTGCTACGGAAATCCGGTAAAACTACCTCTGGGTGCATTGCTGACGTTTCCCAGAGGCAATGATCTCAGCAGAGCGCTACCCACTAGATGTGATAAACAGCCGTTCCAGCCAGGGTTTTTAGAGGAGCTGGCGGACCAAATCCATTTCTCAACCCACTTCAACCTAAACCACGCAAAGTGTTCGTGCAGATGGGAGGGATTACTGAGCATTGAGCAAAGAAAGCTAGCATGTACTCATCATCTTCCAACGAGTCCAGTGGCAGAGCTTTCTTTTACTTGCATGTCCCTGGGAGCAGGAAGTAGGACCCAATGGCAACAGCATGGGCAGGAGGGGCAGTGAGTGCTGTGGACACAGGTGCAGTTCCACCAGGTACACACAGCCTACCCCATCCCCATGTGTCTCAGGTGGCCTGGCACGAGGAAAGTGAAGCTTTGTTCTCAGATAGAGTAAATGCTTCTTCCTGCTTCCTAAAGATTTATGCCTCCACATCAGGCTTTCCATGAGAGGCCTCAGCTACAAGCTCCATCCCTGGGGACCACCCTTGTCTGCGGTCCATTTTACTGTTTCCTTTCCAAAGGGCACATATTTGCTTCTGTGCTCAGATTGGTTAGAAGCCTGATGACTATGGAGGTTCCTTAAGAAACTAAGTAGTTAGTTTCAAATCACAGAGAAATGAAACCAAACTGACATGAATTTCAGTTTCACAACCTGGGAAAACTGTTGCCTTGCTTGATGTATTCCCGAGGGTTTCCCTGGCCCTGGGATTCAGGCACGCCAAGTGGGAAAAAAGAAAAAAACAATAATGTGGGAACTGACAAGAACAATGGAAAACCCCCAAACCCTCTGAAGGCTCTTACGTCGCTCTGGAAAGGTCGAACTTGTGGCAGCTTTGGATGTGGTACATTAAGTCCCCTCCGTTGAGGTACTCCATCACAAAAAAGAGGTTTTCCTGTGGAAAAAAACAAGACAATCCCAACTTTCATTTCATTTTATTTTTATTTATTTATTTTGTCCAAGACAGGGTCTCACTCTGTCTCCCAGGCTGGAGTGCAGTGGCGCGATCTCGGTTCACTACAACCTCCGCCTCCCGGCTTCAAGCAATTTTCCCCCGTCAGCCTCCCTAGTAGCTGGGACTACAGGCATGCGCCACCATGCCCAGCTAATTTTTGTATTTTTGGCAGAGACGGGGTTTCGCCATGTTAGCCAGGCTGGTCTCGAACTCTTGACCTCAGGTGATCTGCCCAACTCGGCCTCCCAAAGTGCTGGGATTACAGGCATGAGCCACCATACCCAGTCACAGTTCCAATTTTTAGGTCCTTAGAGAAAATACAACAAGGAAGACTACTTTTTAAATGGATTAGATCATTTCAGGGGAACCAATTCTGTCATGAAATCACTTATCAGAAGACTGTCAAAATCATTTAGCCAATCTATATTTTTGAGCCCCAGGAAGCCTGGGGACTCTAGGTGGGATGCCATGTGACATCTAGATGCTTGCGTGTTACAACCCGGCAGATAAGCTGGGGCACAAGGGAGAGTCCAGTTGACCTGCTGGCCAGACAATGGGACAGTGCCAGGCACTCAGGGCATTAGCATGTGCCGATCAGGTACTTACGGAAAGTACAGGGTGCAGGGTGATAAGGAGAATGTGTTTCAGTCTCTGACTCCAAGGGTGGAGTTTGAAAACATTCATTCATTCAACACTCAGTAATTAGCTACTGAGCATATTCTACGGGCATGGTGTGGTGGGGAGTGGGCGGGGCATGCCAGCCATTCCTCCCTGGAGCTTGCAATCAAGTTTAACCTCAATTTTCTCCAGTCCCGACTTAACTCACGGCAGAGGCAAGCTACAGTTTATGACGAAGTTCTTCTGCCAGAGGACATGATGTATGTCAGCAGAGCTGGAGCCCTCGAGCGGCCACAGTCAGAAGCAGGGCTGGGTGGTCTTCAGGCTATGGTGGGCATATCAGAGGCAGCCAGGATTGCAGCCAGCCTCAGCTCCTCAATGATGTGACATAATGATTTTTTAAAAAATAAATGTATTTATAACACTTTAGAGCAACCTGATTTTTAAAGGGTTGTAATACGTCACAGAATCAGTAATCCATAAAGTGCGGGGACCTTTGGTGCATCCGGGCATGAATTTGCACTGGAAATTCTCACCTGGGTGGTTTCTGAACAGAATTAACCTTTACATTTTGATGTGAACCCAACCGATGCCATGGGGCATAGGAGGTAATGGTAGAAACGTTGTTCTGGTCTGACAGTCAGACTCCTTGCCTGGTCACCACAGAATGGGGAAACCAAGTATTGTGGCAATTATCTCCATAATCCAGGTCAAGGTAAGTGTCCGTCTTTTTTTAATGTTAGTTTCTGATCAGATTTACTAATTCCATATATACTTAACGGGAGTCCACCCTTCTCTCTTCTGGATAGGCCCAAATTCTCAGCTGACATAAATCATGACTTCACACTGAGATTTCAAACCCAATTTGAGAGTCATCACTGGTCTTGCCTGCACACACCTGCTTTCTCACGCTACCTCTTGCTCTCATCAGCACCATAGAAAGAGCTTCTGTTCTAACCTCACCTTTTTACTCAAAACTATAATGGCCCTATACAAGCCACAAAGGTGGAATCTTCTTTCAAGTACATAAGCAAAGCTTATGAAAGTGTAGAGCAAAACCATTTCTGACAGCGCTTGAGTGAACGGTTTCTTCTAAGTGTTTGGATGCTTACAAATTCCTCGAAAGGCTGACATTTCAGAATTTAACACTGTCGATTTAGATGTGGAGAAAGTGGTGGGAGGGGACTGGAGGCAACAGTTCAGCCCCACTCCCATGCATTCCACACACCTTCCCACGTGTTCTCAGCTCTAAATCAGACGCCACACTAGTGGTGAGCATTGGGAGGTTGAATAGGCCGTTAAAGTCTAAGAGATCACAGGGCACAGTCAGTGTTTACTACCATGAGGGTGAGAAGATGACTATGTTGCTAGTGATTGTTAATTAAACAGCAATGGAGATTTATAGCATGTTGGATGCCCCACATTTAATCCTCCCAAGAGAACTGCAGGCTCCACAATAAATCTGTCAAATATCTGTTCTGGTTCTAATCTTTATATTAAGCCACAGCATGGGAAAATCACACTGACTGTTTTTTGTCCTTTGTGACGGTATTTTGCGTCAGTTTAACCCTCTGGCTTGGATGAATGCCTGATCAAACGTGGGCTTCTTGAAGGGGAGCAGGGACGGTCCATGCCTGGAAGTCCAGCTTGGGGGATCTGGCCTGGAGGACCTGCTGTCTCTCTAGAGGATGCTCCTGTGTTTGGAAAGCCTGGGAATCGAGTCATCCATGATATCTTGGGCCCACTCTGGGCCACAGAGATGGCTCTGTGATAAGCAAATGTATGCACATACAAACTACACGGTCCTGAGGTTTGGATTTTGAGGATCACATTTTGAGGGATGGGTAAGCCTTTTAAAAGCTGAATCCAAAATGCCATCGTAAAAGGAAAATACAAATATAATAGACTCAAACTTTCATAAACAGCTAGGGAAGGAGTGCTCAGAGTTGAAGGCAACCCACAGCTGACCAGAACCACTGCAGAACTGCAAGCAAAAAGAAGTGTCTGCCTGCTGGAAACGCCCTGGGCTGGCATAGATAGAACCAAACCAAGAAGAATGAGACTCAGAGTAATTGCAGAGAATGTGGGCTTCATTCTTACTCAGCCCCGGGTTCAAAGCCCCTCTATTTGTAACTCTGGAGACGTGACTTAACCTCTCCTGAGCTTCATTTTATTTGTGAAATGGGGTAATAATACTCCTACCTCCTAGGGTTGCTGTGGGTATTAAATAAAATAGTGTATGTGGAAATGAAGCTCTGCATTTGCCCTCAGTGGGCAATTGATAACTGATGGCAGCTGTCCTTCTAGGAAATGATTTAAAAGCCAGGAAAGACAAAACCAAAACCAATCCAAAAACCAGCAAATACTTCCCAGAAGAAGCAAATGAACAGTTCTCTGGCCGATGGCTCTTGAAAGAAAGAGGAAAACAGAATTAGATTCCCTCTTGCTAGGCTGCCCTTTAGGTTCTGGCCACTTGCTGAAAGAGAGGATACAAAGCAGGCCTGCCACGAGAGAGAGAGAGAGAGAGAGAGAGAGAGAGAGAGAGAGATGGTGGGGAGGGGAGAGAGAGAGAGATGGTGGGGAGGAGGGATGTGGCCTGTATTGGGTTAATTATGAGTAACCCACTGGGTCTAGACCTCACATCTTTTGGCTGGTAATACATTAACTGAGGCAAGTAGTTACTTTCTGGTAGGTGGGAATTGGGCTGTGATGCTGCCACTGGAGGAGTGGGACTTGCAAATGTCAGTGCCTGGAAGCTGTCCAGCAACTCTGGCAAGCATCTGTCGAATGGAGATTCTAGTTGGTGACAAATGAGACTATTTTTCAATCAGCTGTGTGATCCGTCAAATCCCACCGCCCCAGGACACTCCGGTTTCCTCCTCTGAAAAACGAATCCATCCATGAGATAGTCACCGTCACCACCTGCAGCTTTATGGCTGATTTCCAGACAGCGAAGGCAGTAAACGAGAGAGAGAGAGAGAGAGAGAGAGAGAGAGAGAGAGAGAGAGAGAGGAGGGAGAGAGAATGTGGCCTGTGTTGGGTTAATCGTAAATGGCACTTACTAGTCTAGACCTCACATCTTTATGGCGGGTAATACATTAACTGAGGCAAATGATTCTTTCTGGTGGGTGAGAATTGAAGCTGTGATGCCACTGGGGGGTGGGACTTGCCAAATGCATCCCAGTCTTGCCGACTGTCAACAACTCCTGGCAAAGCATCTGTCGAATGGAGATTCTAGTTGGTGACAAATGAGACTGTTGCTAATCAGCTGTGTGATCAGGTAAATCCCACCACCCCAGGACCTCGGTTTCCTCCTCTGAAAAACGAATCCTGTCCATGAAGATGAGTCACCGTTACCTACAGCTTTGTGGTGATTTCCAGACAACTGAAGGCAATAAACAATGTTGAGGTTCTGTAGATAGGCGGGTAATCAAAGCTGTATGACTCTTTTATGTTTGTGTTATTGATGCTTTAAATAAATGGTATTTAAGTTGGGTGCAGAGGTGCATGCCTGTAATCTCAGCTACTCATGAAGCTGAGGCAGGAGGATCACTTGAGCCTAGGAGTCCAAAGCCAGCCTGGGCAACAGAGTGAGACCCTGTCTTAAAAAAAAAATGATGATTAAATACAAGATCGAAGTGATAGATTTAACAAAATCAGTTGTATAATTCTCATAGGACTGCATTTGCATACATGAATATCATTTGGAGGAGTTAAAGGTCCTAGAGCTGTCAAAATATAACACTACTTAAAACACAAGATAGTTCTTTAGAGGGAGGCATAGGACATTTTGTGAATATTCTAGAATTAGTAAAGGGTGAATTGTAAAAGTGGCCTCAAAAGTTATTTAATACAACCTAGCTTCTACACTGCTTTCTTCTTACAGTGATGACATTTTTCAAATGAGAGAATGAAAATAAAGACAACAGGAAAGTGTTTAGTCGTGATGACTATTCAACACAGCTAGTCAAATATTGAGTAAACAAGGAAACGGCTGCCAAATGTGCATATATTACAGGCTGAATGATAGGTTTATAGCATTAAATTAACTAATGATTTTTATCAAACTAATAGCAGTTAATTTTGTAAATGCACTGAGAACTTGGCAAATATCATGCAAATAAGGTCAGATGTATAGATTCCCTCTCCAGAAAAATAAGATGGGAAAAGAAGGAAAAGAATAATGATAGTCATTTTTTTGAGGTATCTTTTTTCTCTGAAGGCTAGTAAACCAATGTACTAAATTTTACGTAAGAGAATATTTGCAATCTCTGCAAAATAAATAAAACTAAGATAAAATATTTATGACAAAACATCTAAAT